AACCCGAATAATATATACTAAGCAGAAAAAATCTACTTCATGTAAGCGTCGTGGAAGTTTTTTCGCTCAGGATTCTGCTTTTTCATGAAGGCCCATTGCAGCGATGGCAAAAATCTTAAAATTAGAGTCAAGAAACATTGAGAAAAGGACAGCGTAGGTCTTATTTTTGTAACTTAATTTAAACTTAGACTGCTTCTACGTCATTCTTCACTTATCAATCAACGTTACCCAGCCATCCCTCGATCAGATTTGTTATTTCAAATGGTTCATTTTTATTTTTTTTTGGTTGAAAATATTCCCGCGTTCCCACCCATCGTCGTCTTTGCAGCTGTATTACTAAAGCTATTCAAATCTTGACATCATTGTGGCTTATACGTTTGTGTTTTTGAAGCAAGATTAGTTCAAGAGTTCGAAGCGATGTCTGCTTAACTACCTTAGCCCTTCAGTGCCTTTTGAATCGTACCGTTCATTTCCGGCTTTGAATCGTTTTTGTTCTTTGTATTTTTGTATCTTTCGGTGCGTATTTTGGTCAGCCCAGAATCAAACGGGACTGTCAACAAAAACAAAAACTATACCTTCAGCTAATCGTTATTTGTTGCTGCATTCGTGTTACAGTTTTAGCTTTGCTTCAATAATCGAGTATAAAAAGAATGGATGCCTGAACTGAAGAGAAACAAGAGAAGTATCCTTTTCAGGATCTTCCAACCTGACACGCTGTCGGGCATTATCCCATCACTGAGATGRTAAAAATATTGACCGCAAAATTTATAAAATCCCAAGATGTAAGGCACCACACAAGTTTTGAGAAAGTATAATCTGGCATTAAAAATGATATGTATTTTCAAATATTGCGACTTAGGTYGTAATTTAGAAGAGCTTGTTTTTCCAATTCTAAAAATGTTGAAACTGTCAACATATTACATTAGTGCTTTGACTTGATAACTTAGGGATGATCTAAGTCCATTCTGAGAGCATGGCTTCGCTGATAGGTCAATGCAATGAGTAGACTACAAATTGGGCTTCGTAGAGTAAGGAAAATAATCAAATAACGTTTTCTGTAAAACGTCAAAGTGTCAATAAGATAGCATTGTATCTTTAGAAGTGCAAAAAAAAAAAAAAAAAAATGCATCAATGCAAAATCTTAAAATTTCAAACTTCCCTTAAAAATTATTTTGAGCTTAATAATAATAATAATAAAATAAAAAGAAGGCATGGTAAATTCAACAATGCACAATAGAGCTATGACTACTACAGTGGCTTAAACTCATTCAAAACAGCTACTACGCCGGAAGCAATCATTTAGCCTTCAGTCCATGGCCATATAGACTTTAATATTGTCAAGCTAAAAATTGGAATGAAAGCCAAGACCGACAGCGCCAAGGATATCAAAATCCGGGGGAGCTATCTTTCAGTTCTTTCCATGCAGACACGTTTTAGATGTTTTCCGGCAGTGGTCGGTCGCGGTACACGTTAATGCCGCTGCTGCAAAGGGCTTCAGTCACTGCCATCATTTAAGGATCTATATATACTTTTACGGCGCTAAAAGAATCAATCTATTTAGCTCTTTTCAGCTTTTACATCCACTGAGTAACACGTGCGCGGATTGCGGATTTTAATTTTCGCTTTTAACATTAACACATCCGCACACGCTGATAATTGAATTCCATCAATAGTGAGAAATACGCGGCCAGGGAAAATATAGGCACATTAACGAAATAATTCCTTTAACGGTTCTTCGCCATTTCCTTCATTTATACTTAAGACGCACATTAATAATTGATTATTTTTCTGTATTTGCCAAAAACGTTTCTGGTTCCATTTGGTGCAAAGTGACAAAAACTGATATCCGGTGTTTTGCAGTAAAACTATTTTCTCACGGTAATATTCTACTTCCAATTACGTTTGCTTTACTCGWGTAATGCGGCTCATGCATAATGCATTGCTAGAAGCACTCTCGTTTCAGTTTTCCACGAATTTATTTCATTCATAACGGTAAAGTTCCCTGTCGTTACGGACGTTATTAGGTACAAGTTGACACGTTTTCGTGGAAGAATTTTAAGAAAAAAGAAATAATAACAGACCCACACAAATCTTCTCAGATTGCAACTTTTTTTTAACGGTATACAAACTTTAATTTTTAAAATCGAAAAGAACAGAAGTATAACTTGAATCTCGATGAAAGAAATGTTTAAAATGTTAATTTACTAATATTTTTTAAAATTCTTATCTAAATATATATTAGTGTATCTTATGTTCATATTGGAACGGTGTATATCTGGAATATACATAAATGATATTTGAAGACAAAACTCATTCGATCCACTTGTTCTCAAGTGGAAATGCGACAGTGTTGAAATATAATCGATGGACATGGATGGATACAACCGCTTGGAGCGAAAAATTTTTTTTTTCTCTCATTCACATAATGTTTTCCAATCAAAGTTTATATTGATTTTTGTTTAGTATCCTGATTTCAGTTCACAACTATCTGTAGAATCATTTTCTAAACCCTGTCGTGGTCGCTTAAACTGGTCGTTCAAGAGGGTTGGTCGATTATAAAAGGTTTTTAAAAGCGCTTTCAAATCAAGTAAAAACGATTTGTTTGCCATGAGTGACCAGTGGGATTTAGTCGATAAAACTGGTTGTTCAAGAAGGGAGGCCAAGTTACAAGAGGTTTAAGTAACAGAGTTTTTAGATTTAGAACAGTTTTTGAATGAGTGGTAAACCGTGACGTAACTTACAACACGTACACGGTATGCACGGCACACCGTGACATTGAAATGGCTTTCGTTTTCTTTGAGTATAATTCAAAACGCGTAGTCATGGCTACATAGAGATAAGGTACGGACTACAGTATGGCTACGACTTTGCCGTATCGTTTCGCACTCATATGAAAAATGCTCCATATTGAGCCCTTAGAGACGCTGTTCTTCCGCAATCATTTTCAATTGAAGTCATTAACTGAACGTGCATGACTTGGCTCAAACTAACAGACTTCACTTTTCGGTCAAGTTCAACATGGCCTTATTCGGCTTTGTCCTTACAGCTTCTGTATTTTGGCAACACTTACAAATCATCGTATCAACAGAATCAACACAAATAGACTGTTACCGGACACTRTTAATTCCGTGTTTTGGCTTTTAATGATCTCAACATCAATCACAGAAAACAAACTTAGTGATTTACTCATAAATGACCGGAACTTAACGTTAACAAACTTAAGCCTTTGACGTAGATTTCTCCAAGCCCTAAACACCTTACCTTATATTGGATATAAACAAACCAACAGCTTCCTCTACATACAGTACAGACGTCAATGCTCTCAACAAGACCCCTGGAGTGCAACAACGAGCTTAGTCGTGCAAAGACAAAACAGAGCTTTAATTCCGTTAGATTATTTTCGGGATAAATTGAATCAATGACGAATAACAACGCCTGTATTTTCCGTTAACTTTTACGGCCGCAAAAGTGCAACGTAGAAAATGGTAGGAAAATGTAACAAAACGTTTTTTGTTTTTGAGAGAAATTGTCACACCTATCCTAGGATGTGGCTGAAATGGGTTTCGAAGGGGTATCCTAAAAMCCCCTTTTTTACAATTCCTTTTGATCGAAGAAAGGTCGAAGAAAACCATAGAAAATTCGAGGTTTGTCCAAGTATTTCTTTATGGGAATATATAATATGTAGATAATGAAGTATTCGTTATAATGAAGTATTCAAACAGAAATCATGGCAAGCCCCCTTTTCTGAATCCCATTTTAGTCATTCATAATTTGCATTGAGTTAGCACCCTATTTCTTTATAAAGTAAACTAATAATAACGAACGAACAGTAAATTAGGAAGTTATTTTTGTGCTGCGAGAGCCATGGTAGGGACCGACCTCGTTTTTCAATCCATTCATTCCGACATTCGTTTTCTATTTTCCTTTTTTTTTTTTTTTTTGTAATAATTTGAGACTAGAGTTCCCTTGTGATTAGTATCAATACGAGTATTGATACGTTAAATGACCATGATTATCTCTCAAGTGTTGAATTTCAAAATAGAATCAAGCAAGTCCGCAAACATACGCCTTCTAAGTCAGACTGCTACAAAGTCTAGACGGTTCGGGGTTCAACATCATATTTTTAATTCAAACTGAAACTTCCAGAAAAAAAACAATTCCTTTTTCGTGAGCAATATACTAATTGAGCGCGTTATTTTTCTTTCTAATTTTGAGTTAAGCTCCGCTTCATCTCGAAACATCGCGCCACACTACTTTCTCATAAACAGGACTAATGGTTGTATGTTTGAATGAATGCTTTGTAGCTGTTTTGTTCTCACACTTTTACTCAAAGTTGTAATGGAAATCAATTCAAAACCACACATTTTACTTCCATAAGATTAGTCATTTCCTTTTTACTCGATGCTTCCAAAAACACAGTGTCTCAGTACATTTTATACATAAACTACTTCCTAGTCGTCAGCTAAAGATTACTTTACTATATACAATCTTTTTACTTTCATTACCTCGTGGTTTTTCATTAAAAGCAGCCAAAAAAGTTTGTCCGTTTAATTTTAATTCCTTATTAACCGTTTCAGCWTTAGTTGGATGCACCGAATGCCTGTCTACGTGACTTGAATTGGTTCTAAACAAAACGTTTTTTTTTTTAAATTTAAGCAAAAGCTAACTACTGAATCAATTCAGGCGTCAAAAAAATTTTTTTTCAAAGTTTAAGAAATTATGAATATTTACAAAAACTCACTCCAGTTGGACAACTAGGCAAACAGAATTTATTTTCAAAGTTGGATGTATGTTTGAATTTGTCCAAGGTGGATTTTTAATTAAAGGACTTCAGTTCGTTATCATTTCAGGACTTCAGTGACGGAAGTGATTCGATCGAGTCAAAGCATGTTGAATGACAATTCACTAACGTCAGAAGGGTATGGAAGTTGACACCCGCTCAAAAGGTCGGTTACAATGTTGTCACGTGCTCAAATGATCTAACTATAAAGTGAAAAGCATCTCAGATGAGAAACACATTTCTATCGAACGCGAAGACCGAAAGACATCAAGACCAACGAAGGAAGAGAATCTGAAGGAAGACTAAATACAGCACTGGTTCAACTTAAACCTCCCAAAAMACGACTTTTCCGAAGAAAGAAATTTGATTTATTTTACTGCAATTGGAGATGGTCTCCTTGAGGATAAGCGCGCTCTTGTTGTGTRCTCTGGCATCTAACATTCTATTACTCCTAGAAGGGAAAACCCTCGAACAAAGTTACGAAGAAAATGCCTTCGACAAGATAGCCAAGATCGATAGTCAATACGGTAAGTCGAGCTCAAATCTTTTCAACAAAAATTTCGCGTTAAATTCCCCCCATTTTTGTTTTCTTAGCTGTTTATTTTGCTTAAATATTTTTCCATTTTTGATAAGCCCTTTTTTTCTAATTACTACCTTCTTCACARTTTGCAACCGAGTTACGATTACTTTACTCCTTTGTTGTCTCGCGAATTCCATTCCATTATTTTATTGAATGCTTCTATTTCTAGTAGATTGCTTGCTATGTCGCGCTTTTATACAAACTTTTCAATAAAACCATAAGATCATATTTACCTAGATTCCTTTCTTTGRTTATTAATTATGAATGAGGGACTAGACTGCTCAAGATATTGACTTTTGATCAGCTTGAAACTACAGGGTTTGACATACTACTGACTCCTCATATTAGGTTCAGCATTTTCGCTCACAGGTAGCCCAAGCTTGGCTTCTGTGRTGTCATGTTATAAGGAAATGTATATGGGGGTTTACCAAAAATTTCAATAAAATCATTGAAACGTGAAATAAAGCCTCGAAATTCTACCCGATCATTGAGAAATAGCACTWCTTTYGCTCTGTGTGGTTATTTTTTTGAATTTAACCCGTTTTAAGGATTTTTTYCCCCACCAGTAAGAAATAACTGGTAGGGGAAAATTACTGGTGAGGGAAAAAATCCTTAAAACGGGTTAAATTTARAAAATAACCACACAGAGCGAAAGAAGTGCTATTTCTCAATGATCGGGTAAAATTTCGAGGCTTTATTTCACRTTTCAATGATTTTATTGAAATTTTTGAAGAATCCCCATACATTTCCTYATAACATGACACCACAGAAGCCAAGCTTGGGCTACCTGTGTTTCGCTTGACAGCTTCGAGGCAAAGCAACGAAAATCATTGACTCAGTATATTGACCTTTCTAGCGCACCCGAGTGATGAATTCAATTTCCGTTTTTTAGCCCACAAGTCGGAATTTTTTTCTGTTTGTGTGTACCTCTTTTTGTCGCGCCTGAGGCGTGAGCTTACACATGATTAACAACTTGCAAAAATAACCACGAACTTTAAATATTTTCACCTCAAGATAAATCATCTTAAATCTCTGAACAAAATTAAATTAGTTTGGAGGAAACTTGACAATTTTTGAAACTGAAAAAGCTTTAAATCTGTGCTTTTTTTTTTTTTTTCAATACTATGTGTCACATTTTCACCAATTGATTTTCGAAAATGAATTTGTCTTTCAAATGCAGTCCTATCGCGCATAGCTCTCAATTTGCRCTAGTGTTATATAGGACAAAGAGGTTTACCCAAGATTGCGGGGGCTAAAACCCTACAGATGATCATAATTTAGGCTAGGCATCGCGTCATCTTAATCTGTTTTATCTAAGTTTCTCTACCTTAATGTCTGCTCTCAATATTGCTACACGTCTCCTCATTTTAGAAATAATATTGTTCCTGGAGTCGCAGCACTATACTCTCGACAATTAAGACATCAGTTGTCACTAATGGAGATCAAACGCGAGCGACACGCACTTGAGAATGTCTTGAGAGCGATTCTCAAAGCACTACAGAACTCTGAATTCTTCTGCGCCCGGTTGTACGAAGGGTGTAYAGCGCTGTCCAACGGATAAATCCTTATTCAGTGAATAAATTTATTGGATAACATCATTGACTTATCCTCTGAATAAGTAATTATTCGTTGGCGGATACTRTGAGTTAGCCATGCCCTTACTTTGGTCAACCCAGCAGGTCGTTTCAGCCGGTATCGATAAAATTTGAGGGTTTATTTTGAAATAATAATTGCTGTCCGTGAACGAAAATAATCGAGGCAGAAATTAAGCTTATTACTTCTGCTGACTTACTTACATTACCGAGGAAATTAGATTTTTCTAATTAAAAGTGTTTATTTATGATGATATTTGTACAAAACAAAAATATTCCCCGTGGGGAATTCCGCTTGAGTTTCCTATTTCTAGTGCATCGAAATTCAACTGTATGTTGAAGTTTAAAAGCTTTAAAACTTAAAAACGTTGCTATTACATTTTATCTCGAGGCTTGTCATCGAATATTAAGAAAAACTGAACTTATACACCGACGTAGTAACAAAAGACTCTAGAGCTGATGATAAGAACTTTCTGATAATACCGAAGATCAAAATGTCAACATTTGGAGGCCGAAGTTTTAGCTTTACTGCGCCTTATCTCTGGAATGACCTGCCTGATTAACACCAGATGTGAGCAAAATATAAAAACATTTTTAAAAAAATAAGTTGAAAACCTATCGTTTTTGAACATTTAGTATRTCTACAGCATCCATTTAGCTAGTCMATTTTCGCATCATTTTATTTTGCGAATTATTTATTTAACATTGTTTATTTTTAAGTTAAATGTATTCTCCACAAGTTTTAGATTGAATTTATGAACATTTTACAAATGATCATTGCAAATATTCTTTTATATCTTATTTCATATATTTATTTGTTTTATGTATGTTATTAATGTAAAGCGCTTTAGAATATTGTATATAATACCCTTTATAAATAATAAAGTTATTATTATATTATTAAAAAATAGTTTTATCCCATAGAAACCTTCGATACTTTTTGTTTTGAATTTACGAGCCGAGTGAGACCTCTGGGTGTTTTGTAAACACATACCTGGGGAAAATAATTGRATAGATAAGACCGAAGTCATACTGTTCAAACGCTGAACTCGACTATTCTTGCATTGCTCAATGGCGCCATGCCAGTGTATAACATACAGATCGGATCGCATCTAAACAATTGCCTGCTATTACCCTCTAAGTCAGGGGTACTTTCAATCCATGTTTTGCAGAGATGTTGATATTTTAACCGCATTTTACAACATATAATACAATCCATTCAGGAAATGATTACTTTCTGGTGATGCTTCGTTATCTTGGAGCATTTCGATAGGAATGTGAAATGAAATCCAAGTAGTCAATGATCGAACAGCTTGTGGTCAATATTTGCATTAATTTGAAGGGAAAATGTGCCAGGGCGGAAAGAGAGACAGAAAAATTTGAAACCAAAAAATCGTGGGATATTTAGACGCAAAGGTGCGGGAACTCACTAAATCGTAGATTGGGTAGATATAATTTGATTTCCCATTTTGTTGCTTCAGGAATACGTTATTTATAATCAAGGTAATATAGAGATATTTTTGCCCTAAAGACTCCCGATTAAGGTATTCAAATTTCGAGGAACCAGATATAGAGAGATCTCAAAGAGCGGTGCGACTGTATTCCGCTCTCTTCATCAGTGCTATCTCTATCACTCCCGCCCTGATTTTAAGTGTATTCAAAGCTCAATCTACCAGGACTAAGAGAGAACTCGAAGAGCGGTGCGCACTTTATTCCCCTCTCTCCGTCAGTGCTTATCGTTTTAAGGGTATTCAAAGCTCAATCTACCAGGGATAGAGAGAACTCGAAGAGCGATGCGCACTTTATTCCCCTCTCTCCATCAGTGCTCCGTGTTAAGGGTATTCAAAGTTCAAACTGCCAGGGATAGAGAGAGCTCGAAGAGCGATGCGCACTTTATTCCCTTCTCTCCATCAGTGCTCCGTTTTAAGGGTATTCAAAGCTCAATCTACCAGGGATAGAGAGAACTCGAAGAGCGGTGCGCACTTTATTACCCTCTCTCCATCAGTGCTCCGTTTYAAGGGTTTTCAAAGCTCGATCTACCAGGGATAGAGAAAACTCAAAGAGGGTGCACGTTTTATTCCCCTCTCTTCATCAGTGCAACGTTTTAACTACCTATATCTGAAACTAATACACAAATAAATTCTGCAATATTTCAAGCCAGACAAGGAAAGATCCCATTTTCCTCTAGCTCTTAGTCTTGGCTTCTGTTTTTATTCATAGGCTCGTGCTATAACTTAAGTAGCCTTTAGGCGACCTTTAAGTATCTTATCATGTGAAACTGTGCCGCACACTTATTATGTCGATRGAAAAACTCAAGAACTCAAGATTTCGTTTTCTCTAGCCGCTTTGCGCCTCTATGATTATTCAAAGGCTTCTTTGATAACTTAAGAACTCTTCTGCAACCTCTCAATCTTTTATAGTGTAGAAAATGCGAGACCTTTAAACCGGCGAAACGATCACCCGGACCGCAATCCGCGCACTTCATTTTTGCTGGCACTTTACTCGAGGCGCTGCTTTTCATTTATGTGATTCATATCTGAGTTATCTGTAAAATATATCATAATCATCTACGCCCCCTCGCCTTCACGCAAGGATTTATTATTTTTCCATATGAGTTTGACGAGCGAAAGGTTCATTAGGGTGGCTTTAGTCAGGGCGTATTAAGCCGTGGTCGTTTTCTACAGAAAAATCATATTCTATGTAAAAATTTAAGTTTTCCTCGCTCGCCGAAGATTGCAAATTCTATACTAATTTTTTCACTAATGTATGCCATAATCGTAGGTACAAAATATCCAAAAAGGAGAGCCTTGATGAATCGTCTAAGAAATTATATTTTCTGACAAACAAATAATGTAGTGAGCCACAAACTGTATTTGATATCATTCCCAGAAATAATCCACTTGCTTATTACTCGCAAATATTTTTAAAGTCATTGGACACCAACTCAATTTGTTTTAAATTGTCACTTCCTATACTAACGAAATTTTGGGCCTGATTATTTGGAAATTGATCGATAATTAATTGTTTTTCGTTCAAATTTCCGGCTATATTCTATAATATGACGAAAATTACTCGATCAGGAGTATGTAATGAAATCCCAAATTGTACATTGTAGAGTCCCAATTAAGTTGCTCAATTTTGTTCAGCGCATTATAAACAAAAAAATCGCGCGATCTTCTCGTACAATTCGGAATTGATAGATACTTGTGATGTTTTGAATGCCTAAAGGCTCGTCCAATTTTGAAAACTTTCAAAACATCACTCGTACCTATAGATAGATTTCCGAATTGTGCTCGAGATTGTGCGATTTCCTATGCAAATGATTTGAAAAACTATTCCATTTTTTAATCTGCGCTAATGCGCGCTCGTAATCAGTGCTTTAAGATCTACTTTATGACGAATTTTTTCCCCGAGGAATCTTACTTGAAAACAGATTTTTTAAACTAGGTGTTCAAAACAAATGGAGTAAAATTCATCDAATTTATCGAAACCTGAAACAACCTCTGGGATGATCTAAGGACACAATATAATTATAGATAGATTTGGAATCTCATGAAAAGTAGTTTGAACTTCTTTAAATATTTTTTTCCTGAGGATTCTTACTTGAAAACAGATTTTTGAACTAGGACTGAGTTCAAAAACAAATGGAGTATCAAATTTATCGAAACCTGAAACAACCTCTGGGATGATCTAAGGACACAACAGACATAACTGACTTATATAGACATTGATTTGGAATCTCATGAAAAGTAGTTTGAACTTCATTAACCTTGCCTTCCTGTTTCCTGCGAACATGTTGTTTTGGTTCTGAAGTTTCTTGAACCATCGAAGGATTATAATTTAGGCCTGCCACAGATTGTCGCTTCTAATTTACCATTTTCCTGAGGGTATCCGATGATTTCCTTGTTAGGGGTCACTGATACTAGTCACATAACCCGCAACGACTCACGTGTGGAAATTGCTAAATGTACTTGACATCAAATTTTGCTAACAGGAAAACAATTTTGGCTCTATTCACTTCCTTTTATGTTTTGTAGCCAACTTGGCAATCTCCATATGTTAGGCTTTGCCTTCCGTTCTTTCTGTATGTCTATCGGTTTCTTTTTCCGTCAATCGGTTTGGCCGGTGTGTGTCGGTCGTTCTGTCCCTTTTTCCTGTACTTCTGTATAGAAGCTTTGCACCATCACGTGATGGCAGCCATGRCAGGAGGCATAACAATAGAATCTTTTTCTCTGGGTAACTGAATCCTTTCTCATGTAAATCAGATTAGACCAGAATCAATTGTTCCTGCCCCCTGTCATGGCTGCCATCGCGTGATGGTGAAAAGCCTCTATTGTCTGTATATCGTCATCCGTGCGTTCAGTCGTTATGTTTTCGTGCGCCTATCGTTCGTTTGGTGTGTCGTTGCATCTATATAGTCCTGTCTGTCTGTCTGTCTGTCTGTCCGTCCGTCTCTCTGTTTTTCCTTGTCCTTGCTGAGTGTGTCAGGTGACTGATGGCAAGCTATTTAACCTATTCTAATGATTAATCCTTTGTTGTTGATTTATTCCTTAGYTGACTTAAAAGACAGGAGACATGAAGTAGACATGGTGCTTCCAAAGGTTATAAAGACAACTAGAAGAAGACGAGGTTTGCCACTAAAGTCTGATTCACCGTCTCCACTCTTTAGCACCGTGAGACTATGGCCAGGAGGCGTGATACCTTATACCATAGCATATACCTTAAGTAAGTACATTGATGTTTATCTAAACAATCAGTAGCAATGGAAACCAATTTTGGGCCGTCTCAGTTTGGGATCATAATGATAAAAACAAAATTTCCTGCAATATTTTGTTAACTAGAAAAATAAGAATATAATACTCAAGGAATTGTTCTTGAATTTGGGAGAAATTTATATGTAGTCTATTGTGTAAATGATATTGACAGATTACGACGAGTGAGTAAGAAGAAAATGTGACTAAAACGCCGTGAACAATAAAGATTTAACGCAGTTTCCTTTTATTGTGTGTGTGTTTTTAGTGAGTTTTAAAAGTGCATTGCTGACCGAAGTATTAATTTTACAGGAGAGAAGACCCATTTCTACAATCTTATCAAGGAAGCCATTAAAGAATATCAACAGAAAACTTGCTTAAAATTCGTAGAACGAACTACAGAAACAAACTACTTAGAATTCTACTATGGACCTGGGTAGGTACTAATGGTTACCATGGAAACGTTAAGCTTTGCGAACTGTTGCTATGGTAATTTTATGCTTTTCGCGGTGTTACCATAGAAATATTATGCTTTGCGCACTGTTGCATTGRCATGCAATATTATGCTTTGCGCACTGTTGCATTGACAATATTATGCTTTGCGCACTATTGCATTGACAATATTATGCTTTGCGCACTGTTGCATTGACAATATTGTGCTTTGCGCACTGTTGCATTGACAATATTATGCTTTGCGCATTGTTGCATTGACAATATTATGCTTTGCGCACTGTTGCANTGTTGCATTGACAATATTATGCTTTGCGCACTGTTGCACTCGCAATATAGTATATAGTATAGTATATAGTATAGTATATAATATATACTAGTATATAGTAAAGTATAAAATATTCTATTTTAAACTACACCCATCAATTTTTTTGTAACTATTTTCTAGATGCCAATCTGATGTTGGCTACCAGGGTGAGGGCATACAGGCGCTATCGTTGGGCAAGGATTGTGACAGCCTTGATATAGTGATTCATGAGATTGGACACGCGATTGGTTTTTATCACGAGCAAAACCGACCAGACCGAAACAAATACGTCAAAGTCTTGTGGAATAACATCCAAGCAAGTAAGCGAGCTGAATAGAACTACACAAAAATAGGGATTTCTCAATCATAAAATAGAGATGACATAAGAGAACCATTTAGGGAAAGTCTCTCACTTGATTTAAGGAGCTTTTCTCGGAGTTTTTCGTCTTTCCTTCCAGAAAACGTATATTGATCACCCAAGCGGTTATATCCAATCTTTTTATTAGCCATGCCCTGACTTTGATAAACGCAGATGTTTTTTAAAATCTAAAATCTACCAGTTTTGTCTATAATCACAGAGTGGGACAATCACGATTTTAGAGTTCGATGATAAAATCGGTGAGAAAATAAGTAATATCGATAGATGAAATGAGTTATTTGGCAATACTTCTCCAACAACCTAGTCCATTGTAATCAAAATATTAGAATAACTATAATTTCGCTTTGTCATTTTATGGTAGATATGCGCTTTTCGTACGAGATCAAGAGCGGATGGCATCCAGAGAGCCTCAAAACTCCTTACGACTACTACTCTATTATGCACTACGGAAACAAGGACTTTAGACGAAACAACCAGGTAGTGACAATGAGGTCTCTTAGGCCAGGGATCACAACTTTTGGTGGTAACTTACTATCAGGTTTAGATGCACAGAGAGTCAGAAAAATGTACCAGTGTCCAGGTGAGGATAGCTATCAATGCAAGCGACTTYCATCATACACCTATTTCAAAAAGCTAAGGTTGTCGGTTGGAGATCTGAATTRGGCGAACTGAGACTATACGGAATTTTTGCGCTATAATGTTATCTGGCTACAATAAGATTTCACATTTCTAACTCAAAGGGAACTACGTTGTGTGACTGTGAATATATTATGTTTTGTAGCTTTTAACTCGGTATAAGAATTTAGATTTCAGATCTCCCACCGAAAACGCGCCGTTTTCGCAAATACCAAATCTCAACTTAAGATCCCAGAAGCATTATACATCGATTGGGAGAAACTGATTCTCAAGTCAATCCATCAAGTCAATCATGTTAATTAGTCTCTTACTGGTTAATTAGCCACATTCTCTTGCATTTTCTTCTAATTAACTTAAATAGAGATAAGTGGAAAGGGTGTTTATCCTCAAACACCTTTCGCTTGGATTTATCTCAAGTGGCCTCAGAGAAAAGCATTTCGCAACGAATTTCTAAGATGCGCGCCAGCAAAGATTTGGATCAAAAGAAAGCTTTCACTTACACAAGCCTTTTTCTCAAAAGCGCAGTAATTCGAGGTGCAATTCTTTTAAAAAAATCATAYTAATGTACACTGTTTCATTGTGACTTTACAGAATTTCCTGATTTTCCTCGTGAATTTTACTGGTCTCATGATGGTCGTGGAATACAAGGACAAACTTGTATCAAGATGAACGAACCCCGTGACCCATACAGTTGGAACGATAACTACTTATGCTACCGAGGCAAAGGCAAACGACCGCTGAACATTAGATGGTCGCACAGTGGGCCCATATATGGAATGTCCTGCACTCAAATCACTGAGTCAAGCAAACCGTCTTGGACTTCTTGGAATGATAACTATCTCTGTGTCCCCACGTATTCGCCCTACAAATTCAAATGGCTCACAACAAGACCAAGTAATGAAGACAGAAAGAATTGTAAGAAGATTAATGAACCTCGTGACCGGTACTGGAGTAAYGGATATCATTACTTGTGCGCTACTGATCGTGAGACTGATAAACGAGGTATGTTACGCCATTCTTTTAACTATTGTGTGACTTTTTGTCACAAAACAAGTGACAACAGTAAAGTTAGATGCTGACTTGTGACTTCATTTATTTTTTACTAGTSACCTTAACAGTTTCCTACGCCATCTTGAAAGGTAGCCGTGACTTTACATCAAAGCGAGACGAATGGTGATCTTGCAATGATAATGCGAATATTTGTTCGAGGTCTTAAAAAGAGGTCTCTTCATTGCAAGCTTACCDTTCGTCTCGCTTCGACGCAAAGGCACGGTTACCTTTCAAGATGGCGCAGGGAACTGTGAAAGAAATAAATCCTTTGATTTGTACTGTACTATTGTGTACGTTTTAATCCGCTACGCTAACTGCTTCTCCGTAAAAACAACGTTTATATTGCAATTATTGAATTCGTACGCTCTCTCAAACATTTCCAATGCAGATCACCTGAACTGCTGAAGGAAGCTTTTATTCAATTCTTCCAGGCATCGTTATTATACGACTTGCACTTTTCCTGGATAAGGATTGATTAACGCGCCCACTGTATTTTCCGTATCACGTATCTTGCCTCTATAAAGACCTCGCGCTCGGTTGATAAGTAGTTTGGCTAATATGAAATTCTTGTGCAGCATTACTTTCAAGGACTCTATACTTATGATATACCTTTTATCTTGTAGACGGGCAGTGGTCAGAATGGGGAGAATGGAGAGATTGTTCTCGAGACTGTGGAACAGGATACCATAATCGAATTAGAAACTGTACTAATCCTCCTCCAGCGAACGGCGGGAAATCCTGTGTGGGGGTGGAATCTGAACGTGAAACTTGCAATACTCAGCCTTGTTCAGGTATGTTTTTTTGAAGGTGCTCCTTTAGTCATGTCACTCTAGCTTATTTAAAGATAAAAATTAGTGGCCATGCTGGTACAAGGACGTATGGCAGCAATGTTCACTATAGGTGGCTTGCAATCATTCCTATCCTAAGGGAATAAAAGTGGCAGCCATGTTGGATGATGTTCACTATAGGTGGTTTGTAATCATTCCTAAGGGAATAAAAGTGGCAGCCATATGTT